CATATACACAAACACATTCAGTCTGCCTCTTTCTGTCTGTCTCTCTGAAAGGCAGAGACACATGTGCTGCGAAGAGATAGAGACACTGAAAATGGACAGAGTGTCAGTGAAGCCGGCGTGGAAGTGCCTGTAATTTGTGTTCTTAATAATGGCTTCCAAAGGTGAAGCGCCCACGCCTACGTCCTACGTGTTCTATTGACATTACTGTCTCTGCTCTGTTTGTCACCTTATAAATATTTTCCTCAGGTGAATTTCAACGCACAACATTCTCCTCAAAGACTGAGGCACAAACATCTGCCAAGTCTTTGTCATGGAGGTGATACTATTTATAAAGTTGTAAACAAAAAGCTGAAGTTCAGGGAAAAAAAAAATCTGTGAAAGCTAAAATAAACATGAAGTAAATGTCAACCATGCTAGTAAAGTCCAAAAAGTTATAGTCAACCTAAAATTAGCTGCTGAAAAAAATAAAATAAAACAACAACAGAAAAACAGCCTAAAGTTAGCAAAGATGGCTGCTAGCGGTTAGCTCAAGTTTGTCAGAAAATCCAAAGCATCTTTAGGTTTGTTTGCTAAATGTTAGCCCAAAGGCAAGAATTGTTCTGCTGAAAAATGTAAAGGTTTCTAAATGTTGCCCAAAGGCAAGAATTGTTCTGCTGAAATGGGTTGAGTTTGGACAAACACAGTAGCTTAGAATTAGCTCTAAGTTTGTTGGGTAACCAACAGAAACTTAGTAAAAACCATAAATGTGTTGAATGGGATTGCATTCACAGTCCGACTGATGGTTTGAACATTTCATTTCCGGGCAGTGAAGATATTGAAATGGCCGTTCGCTGTCAGAATCTCTGACTTATTTGGACTACACTGTTAGTTCCAAAATGAAATTACCTTCCTAACATCTCCGGAGGCATCAAACCCTAATCCTTTTATGTTGGAAAAAAAAAAAAAACCCACATCAGTGTCGGCTGATAGTTGCTGTTCTTTCACAGAAACATGTTCTTCTGATATGAACCCATCATGGAGCAACTCAACCGTGTACTTTTCCCCACTTCAATTTCAGGAGGAACATGTATCGTTCTGCTCCAGTGTGTGTGCGTTTGTGTGTGCGCGAGCTCCAACATGGCAGAGACCTGAGATCCACTCTGATACAACAGCAGAACCACTTCAGAACTGCAGCCTTCATCCACTGTGGCAGTGAATCTAATGGAGACACTGCAGCGATGGAGAAGCGCAGCAACACAGGCTCAAATGTCACAGCGAGTCTGTCGACCTGCACCGCTGACCGCACGTACATCCAGTGTGCCACGCTGCAGCCACGACGTCATCCTCCTTCTTCATGTGCTGGACAAGCAGCCGTCCCATTGGTCCAACCTCAGACTCTGGTATGAAACACTTTCTGCCCGTGTCTTTTCCTGTTTATTTATTTATTTTTAATTTTTACATAAACTAAGGACCTTTCTAAGTTCAAAGATGAAATTCTCAACAGCGTTTTCATCCAATTCAATCAGAATCAGTGACAAGTACATTTATACAGACAAAATACGACCTATGGCCCATTATAGTAAAATATATTTTTCAGGGAATTTTCTTCTTTCAGTGTTAAAATCTATGAAATGGTAACAGTAATAAAGTGTGTACTTTTATATAAAGGTTATAAATTTTTTTTTTTTATAAATTTGTAGTGGAGTTTCCAATGTACAATACTTGAACACAAAAGACTGAACTCCACAGACAAACTACCTGTGGTTGATGCTCCCTTGTTTTTAACCACAGTCAAAGGTAAACAGTTCCCTGTTGGTTAAACAAATGTGGAAGATGTTTTCACTTCCGTAATAGCTTTAAACTCAGCTTTGAGGAGTTTTTTTCCAATGGAAATTAGCTTTTATTTATTTATTTTGTTTTTACAAAAAAAAAAAGAAGAAGAAATTCCTGCCTGACACCCTGAAAAGAAACACAACAAGAAGCACAGGAATAAACAGTAGAAGCGGTGGAGCAGATCATAGAAATGAAGTCGGCGTAGCGTGGAAACCTGAACGGACAGATGACCAGTGTTTACTCATAAAAGTATAAATCCTCTGTACAGTGCCCAGCTCTGGCCCTGGTGCTGCGGCAGAGAGGCAGGCATGAGAGAACAAACAGATTAACTCATGCCTCACTGCCTCTGCTTGTTTGCACCAGTGAGAAATTTCATAGTTTTTTTCCCAGCGAGGCCAAAAGTAGATTATGTAAAAATACCCGAGGGATGGCTGTTCCTCCTGTGATTCTCCAGTGTGTCGTTTGACTATGTCCTATGTTTTCTCTGTGTTTTTAGAAGTCACTGAGTATTTTACTGTTTTACATCATTGATGTAAAACCACAAAAACCACCAGGTCTTAAAAAAAATATATGGAATTATTTTTCTTTTTTATGTATATACGTCAAATACCAAGAGGGAAACGGAGGAATACATGCACCAGAGAGATCTTTTACACTCTTTGAACTCTTGACATCATTGTTAGTATGAACACAGACTTATGTTATTGCAGTAGTAATTGTCTATGGCTTAAAAAGTGAAAAAGGACAGAAACATTTAATTTGCTCCTGAAATAACTTGAAAACCTGATGTTGGAGAAATATTAATAACATGTATTACTGATATTTTTTATAGACCATTTAAAGCTCATATTTTGTACACAGAATGAAACCCATTAGGTGCCACCATTTGTGGACTTTTTGTTTCATAACAAGTTTGAAATCATTTATATTCCTCCTGTGTGTTCCCAGTTTTTATATATTTTTTTCTTGTTCTCTATTTCCCTCAGTCCTCCTCTCCTCTCAGTCTGCAGACGGCGTTCTCTCCCACCGTTCTCCCCTGCGTCCAGCTTCTCTGGAGGTACGTTCCTGCTCTTCACAGTTTTTCTAATTACTCCCCAATCCTGTAAAAAGCTCTAAGACAGAAGTGTCCTCACCGTGTTCAAGACAGACTCTGGCTCTAACTGTATAAAAAAAATACCTGAGGTCCAACGTGTCCTCTCAAAAATACTCGGGTCTTCATCAAAGTGTGCGCAAAGAGCTTTGAATTCTAATGAATTTATTTGGTGCATAACAATTGGCTTTGTTCAAATGGCAGAGTAATTAAATGCAAGCCACCCAGTCTTGAACATTTCATGCATTTTAATCCAGACAACACTGGGGAAAATTGGACATTTTGGAAATTCCACCACATTAGAATCAGGCCACATTAGAATATCTGTCTTTTCCTCACTCACCAGACTCTGAAGTCATGACTATTGCGAACAGAGAGCGGTGCAACCACTGCTGCAGCGTGAAAGAAGATAAAACCATTAAACCATACAAAACCAGTCGCAGGGCCTGGATCGACCCGGGGGCCAGACTTTGGACACATTTGCTTTTACAGTGTAGTATGTAATTTGCCTGAGTAGATATAAATTAAATTAAACATTTTCTGAAGTGTAAGTTACGAAAGTAACTCCTACAGCATTCATTAGCAACTACCTGAACTGATTTAATGATACGACAACAGAATATTTCTGCTGTTTTTTTCCCCCCACTCTCCCATGGGCTCAGATGCTCACTGCATATCTATTATCTTTACCAGGCTTTAATCTATCTCAGGGAAGCATCCCTTAAGGAAACAGGGGGTAATGTGGCCCCAGACCAGCCATTTATTTCCTATAACAGTAAAATCACTCGGTCTAGTCTTTTTAGTGCCAGAGAGGCCATTAGTAACAGTGCAGACACACGGAGGAATATTGGATGTTAAAGCTGTGGAGGCAGGACTGCCAGAAAATACTCTCATGTGTTTGTTTTCTTACAAGGTTATATGACTTTATAAATGTTTTTGAACAAAAGTTATTTCACATTTGTTGTGGAAATCACTTGTTTTAGGAACTATCGTAGGTACTGAGCGTCAGCAAATAGTCTTTTTTCTTCTAAATCAGAATTAAAAATGACAAAAATAAGGGAAAATAATGGAGGAGGAGAAAAAGAAGGAGACTGGGGGAGAGGTGATATCAAGAAATGTAGAAGAATAGAGCAAAGAAGAAGTAGGTGAAGGGAATGAGGGAAAGGAAGAAGGAGAAGTAATAGTAGACAAGGAGGAAAAAAGATGTTAGAGGTAGATAAAAGGTAAGAAAACAGGAGAGACGAAGAAGATGACAAAATGGAGAAGAAGGAAGAGAAGATGATGGAGAAGTATTGGAAGAAGAGCGATAATGAAAGGAATCATTGGAAGGGAGAGAAGAGGAGGCAGTGAGCTGAAGAGGAGCAGGAAAACATAGAAGATAAGAAGGAGAAGAAGTTTAAAGGGAAGATGACAGGAAGTCTTTCTAAAGACTCCAGAGACTTTTATTTTGACAAGCCTCTTGATAAGTGGGAGAGAGTCTGGTTATTCTTTAAAATATATCTCCGTGCTCCCAGACTGTTTGCATTTTAGTGAGAATTAATTTTATTCTCTACGCCCTGGGACCCCTGGTGTACAGAAGCAGAAACAGCAGTTTATTTATGACATGACCTGAGGGCAGTTTTTTTTTTTTTTTTAAAAAACCTTCCTTCCATAATCATACATCTTTCATTGACTTTTTCTGTAATTCTCTGACCCGTTTTTCTTAGTTTCTTTTACACCAGCCTGCTCTCTCTCTCCCTCTGTCTCCCTCTCTCTCTCTTTCATACCACTTGATTCACATTAAGCCAAAAATGTTAAATAGTAATTCTGAAAACTGCGAAAAATATGTTGCCCAACCCCCGGCCCCA